ACAAGAAAGGAATTTTTGAACTTAATCTAGGTGGGTAAAATTGATTTTTACACGTTTCCGATTGTGTAGTTGCGCAAGTGATATTTTTGTGGCATCCATTACTTTTAATGCTACAAAAGAATGGTACATGCTTATTTAAAAAAGAAATCAATAAAATCTACACAAAATTCTCTATCTTTTATCATCAGAACCCAACCTTCTGATCAAGTCTAATTTGAGAAAAAAGCCTGTCAAAAACCGGCAATTTAATCTGCCGTACCCGTTATCATTGGTATTAGAGTGATCGATTGCAAAGATATAGACTATTAGGATTACACTAGATTTTGGCCTGTTTTTTTTCTAGAAAATTTCATAACTGGAAATTCATATTTTCGTATCTAGAAAAGCATGTCGTGCATGTTAAGTCAGTGAATTCATCCTGAAATTTTGCATTAATTTCGAATGAGATATAATTTTTCCAATGTTCGATGTAAGCGATCAAAAACTCTGATCAATTCTCATATAACACATCATAATTTTACTATCATTAGTTAACAAAAAGTGAAAGTAATATAAAAATATAATACAAAACAAATGCACTAAAAAATATAGAAACAAGTTTGGACTAAATAGTAAATTCATTATGCTGTCCATCACCTGGTTTAACAATATCGACTGATGTCGTATTATTATTATTCAGTTGCACTGGATAGTACTGTCCTTGTTCATGATAATCATTTCCAGTTAATAAACTGACTGGTACACCAGCTTGTTGTTGATTATTTTGAGGTAATACAACAGATGTGTCTTGTTGTAATCCCTCAAACCAAATGAAAAATCTTGATATAATAATTTTTCGTCTTTCAAATAGTGTTTTAATATAAAAATGATACGATTTCCATGTGAAATATGTTAATAAAAATCCGATAAATACATCAACACTATAATGAAAACGTGTAGCAATAATAAAAAGATAACTACTAATAGAATATAACCAAATTAAATATGATGTAAAATATAAAGTTAATGGATCACCGGTTGCATCCAATTTTGGATAGAATAACCATTGTAAAAAACGATTCTTATTTAAATGATTATCTGACTGTTCTATTGTTGGAATATAATGTCGATTAAAACATTTTCGATATAACCATATAAATGGTGTATACTCTTCACCTTTTGAATAATTCGTCCAACATAATGCACAGATAGTAACTAAAAATAGTTAAAAGATTTGTGTGTTTTTTTTTCAATTTTTTTCATTGAATATATAAAATATTATTAGACGTACTTGTCACCGTGTGTCCACTGAACATGACATCGCCACAAGTAGCATGAATTGTTAACATAATATAAAATGCTTCTATTTCTGGTGAACCAACTGCTGTAGTATTACAGCCCGGTTGTGGAACACTTAGAGCCGTAATATAAATAGAAAATGATCTCATACAAAACATTAGACCTTGAATGAATAACCATCGACGAAATACAATTAATCGAATATTTGATTGAAATATATAACGAATAATAACCGATATAAAGATGGTAAATAGAAGATAATTGTTTACTTGAAAATAGGACCAATAGGGAAGTATTTTATGACCAATATCGGGTAATGGTGGTAATTCATTTGGAGACTGACGATCAGCTATGACTTGTACTAATGAATTAACGTACAATGCAACAAAAAAGAAAACGAATGATAATATCAAAGGTAAATATTTATGAATGTCTATGGACATACTTTAACATCTAAAAATAAAAAACTATTTAGTCAAGAAACGTATTCTTCAAACAAAAAATGAACAGTTTCATCGTAATTTTTGAAAAATGATATTTTTTATTTATGATAGACATTTTCTCTCGTTCTTACATACAATTCAGAAATTGGTGTGTTTTAATTAGATGATGAATAAAGAACGAGTTGTGGTAGTTTTATATTAACACTAAACATGACACGCAGCTGTTCACATTTGTTTCTATCGCTGAACATGAATCAAAATTTATTTCATCAACAATCTCAATCATATTATACACACCCAGACGTTCACTTTAAAATTTTAGAAAAGTCTAATTAATTTTATCACATTATTATGTAGCTAAATAGTTTTGATTCACAACATTTTGTAAATAGTAAAGGAAAGATTACGAATAAGAAAAAACAATAATTTCTTAATAAAATATCAACACAAATCTAGTTTTGAGAAGATAATGACTGGAACTGATCACGAACCGTTCGTTATTTAGTTTTTAATCATTTCTGAAAAAGCCTGTTCGATCGTATTTATTGATTTTTCTCCGCAAATTTGATGTTCTTAATAGAATCTTATATACGAAAACATGTGTAATTAGACGGACTTTAAAATGATCTGTAGTACATCATTTCAAACTAATGTCTTCATAGTGTTATTGGTCAAACATTATCTATGACTATGTTGCTTCCCATACAAGTAACCCTCATTGAATATAATAAAATGTATATAGTTTTGCCAGCGTACTCCCGGAATGGTTTATACATAGAAAAATGTAGCTACAAAATGTGCTATAACACATTCTTTCAAATTATAAGTTTATTAGGCTTATAGGCAAGATAGTGAACGGATGTAGTGATTTTAATTTGTTGTAGAAGAGTTAGTGAACTATAAGACTGTAAACAAAATGAGATCCAGAATGGTTATGATATAACAAAATGTAGAATTTAACGAGCTTCGATTTGTATATGCATGTCATATATTCGATTAACATATGACCGTCCCGACTTTTATTTACGGTGATTTTCAAAACTATTGAATCACGTGTATTTTCAGTTTTTCTCCTCAAAGATACTATTATCCGTTCCAGAAGTCAAGGCATGGCTCGTGACAAATAAAGATTTCATTAAAATTTCTGGGATTCAATCTAGGTTTCTAGAAAAACCAAAGCCCTGGTAAACTAAATCTCCGAATTTGAGTAATATTTTTCTTCTAACAGCTTTATCATATACAGGAAACATTTCTGAACAAATCAAGACGTCACAGAGTTCTCTATCGCACTGCTTCGTCAAACAGCATTCAATTTGAGAAAGGCTCCAAGTCACCAAAATTAGCGAAATTAATCAGAAAACAAGAAAAATATGTCTTTCATTTTTTACGCATAAGTCTATTAAACTTACCATTTGAAAGAATGTGTTACAGTTCATTCGATAGCCCTTTCCATTCTACATGTTTCTATATACAAATTATGTCTAATCTTTGTCTGTAAAAGAAACTATAATTATTTTTATGTGGCGCTATAGGAAAAAAATCGAGATACCTGGCAAGTATTTGTCAAATATATCCACAAAGGCAAACTTTTAAAATAATGTGTTATAGCACATTTTGTAGCACTTTCAATTCTACATTTTTCTATGTATAAACCATTCCGGGAGTACACTGGCAAAACTATATACATTTTATTATATTCAATGAGGGTTACTTATACGCGAAGCACATAGTCATAGATAATGTTTGACCAATAACACTATGAAGACATTAGTTTGAATGATGTGTTATAGATCATTTTAAAGTCCGTCTAATTACACATGTTTTCGTATATAAGATTCTATTAAGAACATCGAATTTCCGGAGAAAAATGAATAAATACGATCGAACAGACTTTTTCAGAAATGATTAAAAACTAAATAACGAACGGTTCGTGATCAGTTCCAGTCATTATCTTCTCAAAAATATATAGGGTCATTTTCTTGCAGAAACCGTACTCTGTCCTTTACAATATACAATTTTGTCGCTCTGAAACAGAAGCTCCTATTGAGTAAAGATCTACAACCTGACGCTCACTTGATACAAGTCTTTTCAGCCTTTTATTGAGTAGTTTCACCTTTTCTGAGTAGTTTGATAATAGTTAGTCACTCTACTGTATAAAAAGATTATGCTTTCTTCTAAGAGTCAATAGCTAGTGAATCCCTATTGGGCGAATGGCTAAAATCTGAATGAAAAAAATATCGTGAGCTCATATTCTTATTCTGAACTGATAATAACAATAAAAGCTTATCCTCAAAATCTGAGCGCGTAGAAAAGTCAAATAATTTTGCGTTTTATGATTCTCCACACTGCTGCGAAAAAGAACACTCGCCATGGCTGATTTTATCTGTGTATTTGACAGTAGCTATTGTCATATTCCTTCATACTCACTGACTTGTAATTGAGTACAGTTTTGTTAAAGAAATGAAGGTGAAAATAAAAGGAAAATAATTTAAGTAACTCAATTTTTGGGTTAAGAAATTTTCTTTGAATTGTGGTGATCGTTGCGATCTACGCTAGCAATTAAACCGATGAGTCATCATATACACTCCACCGACTAAAGCCACGTTCACACGGCACATTTTAACCTAGTTTAATCCTAATCTTTTCAAACTTGCCCTGTGTGAACGCACTCAGTTTGGCAATTTGCATCTGAACGGTGTCATTTCAAACTCGGTTAGAATTTGGATTAAACTAAGTTAAAAAGTATCGTGTGAACGTGGCTTAAGTGTCTGTATGTGTAAAAACATAATGATAAAAAGAAAGTGGACTTGGGCAGTTTTTGAATAGCGTTAGATAGAAGACAAGAAGAGAATTACTGTTACAAAAGTCATAAATCAATCAGAAACGATTCAAAGGACCGCAAAATTTCACGATATAATACCGTTTAGAAAGTTGAAGAGAAGATCATATGCTGAAAGTTTGAGCTTATTTGAATCGCTTTTGATTGATTTATGAGTTTTGTAACAGTAATTATTTACTTACCGTCTGTCTAACGCTATTTAAAAAATAACTAAGTCGACGTTCTTTTCAAGAAACATGTTGACTATATAATTTGTCATTTCACTTTAACACAAAATTAATAATAATAATGGTCTGTCTTATTGTTGAAGGCATTAAGAAGACAAAACGGATGAAAATAAAAAAAAAAGACGATACTTTGTGTTTTAAGGTTATATTATAATAATGGCATATGTTAGAGAAGATGCTGGGTCGGACGAGATAAACAGAACAGAACAAAACAAAACACTGACAGCCGCTTTTCTTTTTTTTGATGAAGTACGCATACAAAGAAAGAACAAGAAAAAGAGAGTTACTACTATTACATAAGACGAACGAACAGCATACAACGTGGAACAAATCAAGTTTTTTTTCTCGTGACGTTCTTCTTCTTTTTGTCTTCTGAATTATTATAGAATGTGACGAGTTGTGTGTAGTACTATTTCTGACTGAAAATCTCACTGTTCAAACAGAACGGAAAATCAAACATAATTTCATGTAACTTTTTCCTTCATATTTCTAATTTCACTTCATTGATTAGCATTAGACGTGTTCTTCGGTTGCTATAGTGTTCCGAAAAATTGACCGTGCAGCACGTTAACTTTTTTGGTTTCGTGTGCCATTTTTTGTAGATGTCACAGAGACTCGCAGTTTGTACCAATGTGTTCACTATAGTCTCTTGTCTGTATGAGTCAGTATTAACAGCAAAACTTCGTTTTGTTAAAAAAATAAGTGAATGAAAATGCTTTTTTGGTGAAATAAAATAGATTTAGGACAACTTCTGGTACAGTCTGACTGATCCCCGCGGTCTTTTACATATGTCATTCGATGTATCACACATACCTACCTCTCTGATCAAAGGTTGAGTCAAACTGAAGATGGGATGGTGGCACATGGTCTAAAGTCCTGAATGATGCTTTTTCGGAAACAATTTTCTCTCATTGATTTGGAATTGAATCAAAATAATTTTTTTGCCATTAGAAGACCCAGACATTGGAGATTTTTTTCTGATGTTTTTTCAATGAAAGAATTTCTTCAAGTAGCTAAAAACGTTGTATTTTTTGAATCCGAGCGATTTTTGAGCAAATGATTTTAGCATGAGTTTCCCAGTTTTGCTTTTTACATAAAAATTTGTCCTTCTGGAAAAGACACAGTACATATTAGTGTATTTATTGCATTGTTCAATTTTTAAAAAAAGACGCTTTCGTCATATGTCCGCCCGGGTGCCCTGAGAAGCACCATCTGACTACTGAATTCCTTTCAGAGACCTTCATTTGATTTGAACGTGGCGCTATTATTTGTTGTGCGTATGTGCTTTAATTTGAATAATAACGCACAGTTTTAAAGGACAGTTACAAAATCTTAGTGGTGCATTAACTTCGTAGTCTGAACACCCTCAATTTTAGCTCAGACTTAAGTGAGAAAAAAGTGTAGTGTGAACAAAGCCTTTCATTTTACACTATAATTGATCTGTAAACTACCGTATTTGTTCTACTACTGATTATATACAGTGTCCCGAAAAATTGATCGTTAACTTTTTTGGTTTCGTGTGCCATTTTTTATGTAGATGTCATAGAGAATCGCAGTTTGTACCAACGAGTCTTTTGTGTCTATATGAGTTAGGATTAACAGCAAACCTTCGTTTTTTAGAAAAATAAGTGAATGCACCGTTCTTTTATGGCAGAAAAATTGTCCATACTGCATCAAAAATGACAGAATAAAGGCTGGACTTTGAACTTAAAGCGGGAATTTTGGAAGAAAAAGGCTCTCTTAACTGTTTCTCACTTTCTTAAACGCTGAGAAGTAAAAAAAACGCATTTCATCACTTCTATTTGAAATATTTTGGTAAATGGCGTGTAGACGGAAAGAGTATTCTCGTGATATCATATGCTAAGACGATGAAATTTTTTTCCAAACACTGTTGACATGACCTTAGCTGTGAGGATCAAGGCACATCAAAATGTATACTTTGGATGGTATTTGAATACATTAAAGATTGAAAAAAGATGAAACACCTGTCTCCATTTCCCCAATGTTTGTTAAAAACTACAAATTCGAAAGCGATTTCGTAGGGCAAATTCAAACTAACCTCATCAGCGGAGAGAGCACATCTAAATAAACTACAAAATATCGAATAGACAAAACACAACTCATTTCTGTCGAGTAGAAAGGGCTAGAATAAAATCGTACTATTAAGCTAATATATCATTAACTTGAAACAGGCGCCAAATGAACAAACTGACACCATAGTAAAGTAAGTCGATATTAAACACTCTTTTACTACTTCTATTGACGTCTTTTTTCAACCAATAAGAAAAATAAAATTTAGGCAAAAAACACGTAGATTATGTCGACACCAAAGAAGAAGTTAAAGAAAATCAAAAGGAATCCACTGTCGAACTCAGCAAGAAACTTTGCACTTGGCATCCAATTTTCTGTCCAATGCGCTGGTTCCAGCGCAAAGCGTACACCAAATTTTCTAATGACTATACAATGTCGTCAGCGAGATCGCTGCAAAATATGGTCAAACTGCCAAAGGTTGCAAGTGACGGAAAAAGGATGTAGTGATTGATGAAAAATAGGCAATAAACGCCGTCATATAAGCACGTGTTTTTGAAGTTTACCACTCCGACCAGTAAATGGTGCAAAAAAAAGATAACATCATCGAAGTACAAAATCAGTACACATCAATTACTGACAGCTGTTATTAATTGCCATAGCTTTCGATGCCGAGTCGGAACATTAAACCATGCATTTTGAAAGTAATCATACGTCCTTTTCCTCAAGATAGTCTAGATATACAATAACATGCCAAATTGTCTAGCTAACATGGACTGATCTTATTCCAAACTTCATAATTGTGAATAATATCAAGTATTGAAAGTCATTTTTATTCCAGGTGTTGAATACCATTTTTGATGAAAAACAAACGTCTTTCCAAAAGTAGTAGATTTTTAATAAAAAAACAAATAAATAATTGGTGTGCTCAATCTTTATTTTTTCGATACCCGAATCTCCGATGGAGTTGATGTAACTTAAGATCTGGGAGACAGATCGTATTTCATTTATTTACCTCAGACAGTGATGTACAGTGGAAAGCTCGTCCAGAGAGAGAGAATTCTGAGTGTTTAACATTTCTTTTTGTAGTTTTAGGTTTACTTTTAGTAATTTAAGTTTAAATAATTTTTTTAAGTTTTTAAAATTTAAACCATAATTTTAAAATGAATAACATTTTACTATAAAAACTTCGGCAAAATTGAAATATCTGAATAGCTCAGCAGGTTTATCCATCATCCGTTTTTTCATACAGGGCTTATTTCATTTCTACGAGCTCGAATAAGACAAAGGCGTAAAATGAAGAAAATTCATTAACATTAACTTTAAAATGTTTGACTTTTGCCTTTCCTAAATGGTCAGCGGTGGGAAAACTATCATTTTCTATTTCTCCGACATGTCTACGACGTCGGATTTCTTTCGTTTTAATACAACTTTTTCGACAAAAATTTCATCGAGAACGTAAAATTTCATATCAACTGCAATTGTCCTCTGTGTATAACGAAGAACGCAAACATTGATCTTTTTCTCTGTTAGAAGGATATAGTCTACAGTGTCAGACGAAAGTGAACGAGATATATACGGGAAAATGTGTTTTGATCACCAAACTTTTTTCTATCGAAATGATAACACCAACAAATAATAACAATTTTGATCATCAAAGGGCGCAAGCGGATAAGGTCATTTTCCGTCCCCCAATATTTTCGAAAAAGAATTATATATTCGGAATCGGCGCCAAATTCTGCATCGAATGACGTGTTTAATTTACTCAAAAGTCGAGTTTCATTTTTTCGAAAAACTTTGATCTTTGAAAACCGTTTTTTCTCAAATTTTAGTGAGAATTAACTACTCAATTAATAACTCATTGAAGAATTTTTAAAGAAGTCCAGCATTTATGGTTTGGCTAGAGGAAAAGTCCAGCAGAAAAAAGCAACATTTGGAAGCTTGATTTCCCAGTACACACATATCACAAAACCTTGAATAATATATTATTTTACTCAGAATTTGATACCCTATCAAACCACATATTAAAGAAAATTTCAAAGGTTTGAATGCTCAAAAAGTCTTTTTTTCAAAAAAGACTACTTTGTTTTTCGACGTAAAGCAGGTTCATTCGACAGAGCATCCGAAACTGGATATTTCGTATTGGCTATGCTTTTCACTCGGCCGCGAAGAAAAACGTACAAAATCTAGCACGTAGTTTGCCAGGGTTTTACGACGTTAAAGCGATTTTTTACAATGAAAATCGACATTTGGAACATATTCCTTGTTTTTTTGATTAATGTTTCTTCATATTCAGCTGAATACTAATACATTTGGCGATAAAAGTGTTATTTTTCGGTGCTCATTTTGATAGAAAGAAAGGAGAGAGGTGGATAAGACCATTTTCCGTCCAGAATATTTTTGTAAAAGAATTACATATTCGGGCGCTGAATTTGACGTTGTTTCAGAACATGTAAGTTCGAATATGTAATTATTTTTCGAAAATATTGGGGATGGAAAATGGTCTTATCCACCCCCCCCCCTCCTTTCTTTCTATAGAAATGAGCACCAAAAAACAACACTCTTCATCATGAAATTTCTTTCTATCGAAATAATCACGAAAAAACAACACTTTTGATCACAAAATTTCTTTCTGTCGAAATGAGCATAAAAAAATAACACTTTTGATCACCAAATTTACAAAGCTGTCAGAAATGTTTTCGGTCGATCTTCACCTTTTTTCTTGCCTAATGGCTCACAACGCGTTTTGTCACTAACTTGATACATACGATGGCTAATCCAACGGACGGTTAGCATGCATATTATTAAGATCATATTTGAAGGATGATTCTTGAAGTCTGATCGACGGCACTGGCTTACGCTAAATTGGATTTTGCTAATTCTTTTGCTTGATCATATGATTGCATTGTGCAGAAAACGTTCTATTGTTTCTTTGGAATTTTTTGATGGCGTCGTGTACAGTTTAGGCGCATTATTTATAGCTGCTCTGAATTGATAAAATCAATGAACTACAACTTCAATCGTTGACAATAAAGTTTCTGTTCATGTTTCTTGTTGTATATATATTCTTCATATTCTTTTGTGGTCTGTCTACTAATTAATCCCGATGATTAAAAGTGTTATTTTTTGGTGATCATTTCGATGGAAAGAAATTTGTTGATCCAAAAAATACCTGCCCGGATATATATTTTTCTTCACTGACTGTGATCATTCGAAGAAAGCAATACATCTTGTTCGTTTCTCTTCCTTACCAGATGCCAGCAACCAAGTAAGCCCTGCTCTGAAGAGAAACGAATCGGATCATTGATCATTGAGATTATTTGTGTTGAGAAAAGAAGAAAGCAGTGTCTGATTGTCAACCGGTTATTAAAATCGTTTAGTAACATGCACTTCGGCCTAGACAATTGAGCGTAATCAGCAGCAAGAGATCCAGCAAGAGATCAGCAGCAGTTGAGAAATACTGGATAAAAATAGTAGCGCAAATACTAGCGCAAAAGTTGTTTTGAAAGTTTTGAGATGTTTATCTTACGTTGAGACAGACTATTATTCTCACATGTGTACACTAAATTTCGACCTAATCATCACTTGAATATCTACCTGCTGAGCTTGTACCACCTCAATTTAGCTTACGTACACGTTTCTTTACATTTAAGTTTCAGATAGTCTCTATCTTTCAACTATTATCTCTAAAAACGATCGAGGATTTTTTATGTCAATTTTACTTCAGTTGGAAATAAGTATTTGTAAATCGAATATAGAACTGCTGCAGTTCTATATTCGATTTACAAATTTTACTTCAAATAACCAGTAATTTGATATTTCGATGTATTTAATGATATGTGTAAAATATTCTAAATATTACAGTAGCGGGGATAGAATTTAACATGTGATTTAGTGCGAGAGTTATAAAGTTATCCAACCATAATTCCCACCATGAATTGTGAAATTATTTTTCATATCCAATTTTTTACATTTTGATCATTGAATTTTATTACTGTTATTATCATACATACTAATAAACTGAATAACATTATACCAATAAGTGAACATAATATCACGGTCATTACCAGTGCAATTTGTCTTAATCTTTCAGCGAATCTTTTTCGTCTATGATTTAAATTTAAAACATTTATTACTTCATTTAAAAATTCCCAAAAAATTGTGCCATAACGAACGTCTTGAGAATTGTTCATAAACGATGACATCGTGAGTATGTGTGAAGAGGGTTTTGGTTTGTAATCAAGATATAGCATTTTTAACTCTCATATGATTTCTAAAATACCTAAAAGAGTTCGTGCCAATGACTCTTGACGACCCAGTTTTCTGGATAACCAGTCTTTTAGAAACTCTGAAAAATAATCAAAAGCTTTTGTTAGTGAGACATGATTGTAGTTCGCAAATTTCTGATTAAAATGAGACATCTCCCAGTTCTACAAGATCTTTCTTTGCAAAGTTAGAGAATTTACAAGAAAAGCTGTAAATTAATTTCTTCTGATTGCGGTAGCTTTGAGCTGAGAATGAGCATTTAGGGCTTTTCTTGTAAATTCTCTAACTTTGCAAAGAAAGGTCTTGTAGAGCTGGGGATGTCTCATTTTAATCCGAAATTTGCGAGCTACAATCATGTCTCACTAACAAAAGGTTTTGATTATTTTTCGGAGTTTCTGATAAACTGGGTCGTTAAGAGTCATTGGCACGAACCCTTTTAGGTATTTTACTATCCCGATACCGTCTATCGATTGACGTATGAATGATTGAAAAAAGAGTGTTACAGTAGAATAGTGTTCCTCCTTTGTGTTCAGCCTTTGTGTGATACTCTTAAAGATTTTTATAGAACGATTCAAGGTTTTAATTAATAACTACACGCGCTCGAGCGGCTCTGCGTTTGCCCAATATTTCGGTCTCATGTTCAGTACAAGCAACATTGAACATGCTTTTTGGATTCTACAATTTCGTATTTCTTTCAGATTTTATTCTTACCTGCTCTCTCAAATTTAGTGAAAGAGTGTACAACGCCAGAAAATTTAGACGTTCACTTTTTCAGTGGTTTCTCCAAAAAACTAGAAGAAAATGGGCGTTAGCAAACTTTGAGAAAAACTACAGTAAAGTTTTGCGGTAACAGCAGTTTTTAACGATGACGAATGTTGACTACTCACCTAACTCTCTCCCTAGGAAAGCTCCAAAATTTGCGATAAAACACTTTAGAATTCACATGTCTTATGTAGAGGTCGTAGTAATTGGACAAACTATTTCCCGAATATATCATTTGTGCGCATTTAAAATGCTTCTAAAACGAGAAAACTCATTCTATGTAACAAACTCTAATTTTAAAGTACACACTGGTCTTGTTTTTGACAGCTGGTGAAAAATACAAAACATTAATCCCTATGCAAATGCATCAAATCAAGTTGAGTTCAACTTGAGAAAAATTTAAACTCGACTCTTTACATTTTCACCCTATTTCTAGAGGAAATTTTACCAGGTTCTGAAAAAAATGTCCGAAAAGAGAGAATAAACAGATTGAATAAACGTCTGAAATTCACCATCTCATCGAAGGAAATGATAGGGGCAATATGATCTGGAAATTATAACAACGAGGACAATTTTGGAGCATCAGTTGGTCATTAATTTACCTTTCTAAAAGCGATACTCTTAGTCCAGTTTCACTCATCACACTTAAAATATTTAGATCAAAAGAGAAAATATTCTATGAAAAAAGCGAGAAATGGCTAACGAAGAAGGTGGAGAATGAAACTTGGTAAGCGAAAGGTTTTTTGTAGAAAACTAATGCTTTTTACACATTGTTTGATGCAGTTGCTACGCTCAGTCAAAACCTGTTATAAAAGTTTAAGAAGAACAGTCTCAATAGCGAAGTTTATTATCTCCTGTTGGATCTAAAAGTAAAATTTCGCTCTCGATGTTCCTACTGTATGTCCGCAGTAGTGCGGTGAGGGTGAAGAGTCAAAAAAATCGAAAATACTGATGACGTAAATAGATGTATAATCCATTGTTTACTAAAATACAATAATAAGTTTTGTGTTACTAACGGTTCGTCGCCTAAACGATCATAAAATAGTGCATCATCTGGTGTAATATGTGTTACATCATATGTTTTGACTTTTTGTTTGTTAACAGCTAACGAAAACTTTTTTATTTTATGATAATGTGTATTATCATGATCAATATTTTTAATAGCACTTTGTGCACGTTGTAATTCTCGAATCATTTGAAAACTTAAATAAATATTTGGTGTCCGTTGTTGTCCATCCATTGATCTTATACGATGTAAATTACGTCTTATAATTAACCATTTGGAGTTATGTTTTAATGAATGAGCACTTAATGGTGCTTGATAATCATAATTCTCTAATATTAAATTTTGTTTTTGTTCTTCTTCATGTTTGCTATCAATTGATAATGACTGTCTTAATTGATGACGTGTATTACCATATGTGGACACAAATAATTTGGCTCGACGAGTAGTATCATGTAATGGATTATTAATTATTTCCATTTCAGCTTCGTTAGGGGTTCGATGTACTATATGTCGGTGATAATTATGTGATTTTCTCATTAGAATCTTCAAAAATAAAATACCGACTACAATACCGCTCGTTAATATTAGAATTTTAAAAATCCAAAGACGGTTGAAAAAGAACAGAAGGCTTTTGATTAGATAAAGAGATCGTTATTATATTCTTTGCATAATCGTTATTTTCAATATCTAGTTTTATAACTTATTCCGTATATTACACAAAAAATCGAGTTGTAAAGAAAAGAAATCTGTCAACTGTATCCTGATCGAGTAAATGAGTTCAATAAATTCGAAAATGCACGGTTAATAAGAGATTTATTACATGCATTTTTGAACGTAAGCATTTCTGACTGAAAAAAGTGTTTTCAGTAGTTAAAAGTAACACGGATCACAAATACACTCGGAACAGATTCACAAGTTTCTCGAAAACCTTGTGAATCTGCAATATTTGGTCATCATTATTTTGCTTTTTTGCAAAGAGTGAAATATTCAATGTTTTTAAGAAAGACAATGATTAGTTAAGCTGTTATACTCGTAAGTGCCAAGATTCGATCCTACATGATCTGTCATGTTCGAGAAAGCTAATGTTTGAGCGAATATGATTTGTGTTTCCATACAAATAGCATTAGACGTGGTGTTGTCTGATTAGACATTAGCTTTTCTCATAAACAGATTGTGCGAGGCTGTTATTCTCTAGACGTCTGACCGTATCTATGGATTTCTTCTATGGACGGTAATTGCTTTCGTGGGACAGGGCGTCCGGATGTGACATCCAGATACGTCCATAACTGCGGCTGCATCTGGACGTCCTCATCCAGTCCAAACGTGAGACTTTAAGCAGTCCATTTTCATGTACCTGACACGGCCTCCTGTCGTATCGCTGGATGGTTGCTGAGCTGAGCATTCAGACGGCCGTCTTTAAAGGGTTCTTTTGCGATGAGATGCTATACAGAAAAATTGTCAGGTTTCGGCATAAGACGGACGTCCAGACTATCGCCTTAATGTGTTCTTTTTTGCAGGGGTGTGGACACCGTCCACCTGTCCAAAAGCAAGACTTTTGGTAGTCCGTTTGAAACGTGGGGCGGGCGTTCTAGGGCTCAAACAGACTACAATTTTACCCATCTTTTGTTAAACTGACTCCTGATATCATCATATGAGGCAAATGAAATTCAATTCGCGAGGAGCCAGTGGATGTATACGTTGGATCAATATGTTCTTCATCAAGACACTTTCCAGAATTAATCGATAGTTACACAACGGTTTGTCCAACTGATGAGCAGTTGTACTGGAAGTTTCAATCATTACAAACACGACTGACATTCGCATACTCGATCCGTATTATGTCTCTAAAATTTGACTGATGAAACAATTTTTTAACAATTTCTTCTGCACTAGTAAGGCATCCACAATTAGAACAAATACAAATCGTTAGTCAGATAACCTTGTATTTTTAACCTGTTTCTTTGTTATAAACATTTATTAACGTTGTCTTTTAAATAATATTTTTTCTGTAGCTAATACTCAATACTATTGAATATTTATAATAAATATATTTCGAACTAATATCGTGTTTCTCTAGATTATCGATCAAATCGAATCTAATAATCGTATAAATTATTTAGTTCTGTTTTCTACATTAAATCTATTAATGCTTTTTTCAAAGTGTTTTTAAAACAAGCAAACATTAGTGTTTATTCACTCTATTTTAAACTTATTTTGCACATCAAATTAGGTGCAAACATTTTTCAAAATATATAAAAGAACGGGACAAGAAATTAAAAAATTCGAGAAAAATTATTACAAGACGTTTTTTCTGTGTCAATATAAAACTGTATAGTCATTTCAGACGTAAAGTTGTAAATTGTAAAGCTATTGAAAATTAAACATTACACTTATAATATCGGATCAATAAGCGCAAAAAATGTACTATATAGCTCTTCTGTTGAATATTTGCATAAGACAGTCTCGTGACCATTACTCTTCTCGTATGAATGAGAGAACAGTCGAGCTGACTTGCGGATACGATTGTTTCAAAAACTGCTGTGCACAACGATCAACCTTGAAGAAGAAAAGGAAGTTTTCGAAAAGAAAATCGAATTTTCAGTTTTTTATAACGTATCTGCACTGCCTTGCGAGCTGCAGATGAAAAAAAACCTAGTCGTGTAATTCAATAGGACAAACACTTAAAAGCAGTCCAATAGAGATAATAAATGCTTTTTGTCTACTTATGCATATCAAAGCAAACTTGATAACGAAAAGAAAATTATTTCATCTGCAGATCGCAAGGCAGTGCGGATACGTTATGAAGACCAGAAAATTCGATTTCTCACGAAGGACAAAGGGCTAACGTCGGAAATCTTTTCCCTAATATACCTGTAAGTTACAGCTGTTTAATCTGCTGAAACAGTGCGTTACAGTAAAAATATTCAAAACTCGAATTTCGCTATATCAACCATAATTCGAGACGGAAGCCACAACAGCCCAAATCCTTTTAGTTACACTCATGTGTCTTATCGATCAGCAAAATATGAGCTTAAACTGAGTTGGACACTCGGAGAAGTTCCCTCGTTAATAACGCTTTTCGAGTTTATGGGCAAAGTTAAGAATAAAAATTTTAAAACCAATGCGGCTATCATGTTAAGAATTTTAATAAAAAGTGTTAATCAAATAATAAAAATAAAAATTAAACAATTAAAACTAAAACATTAAAATTATAATTCGATATTTCGACCTATTAATACGGTCAT